GCTGGGGTCGGCTGGCCGGTCCGAGTCAAATGAAGCAGCGGGTTCCGCGAACTATTTTCAAGATGTATTTTTTCTTAAAATGTACATTTGATCCATAAGTGTTAAAGAGGATCGTGTGTTTCATTAAAAATTAGCAACACTAAGTGTTTATTTTCATTATTTGATAGCTGTGTGAGATTTATACTGATGGCTAGAATAGGTTTAGCAGTCACTTGGAAAACACACAACTATGATGTAACAAGCGTAGAATCCTATAAGTGAGTGATGCAAATTCTAGTCACATTGATATCAAGCATACATGTGACATACTTTGTACTGAACAGTGTTCTTATTCCTCCATGGTGTACTCTCAACCAATCAGTGAACGAATCAATTTGTGGGACATTATAAACACCTCTTCAGCTCTTCAGAAGTCTACTGAGCTATGTTCATTTTGATTCTATACTCATACATGTCACAATCTGGCAATTTCTTATCAATACACCTACTTGAGTTTTTCAACAGGGATGACCACACGAGCAAACTTTCCAAAGCCTGTTGTCACGCCGTATACAACTACAAACAAATTCAAACATTTTCAGGATCATTGTATTGATGCAGGAATCATTCCTGAACATTTAGGGACAATAAGAACTTTAAGTGAACTGAGATATGGCAATAGTGGTAATAAATCCCTTGGGAGGGGGGGGCTGAAATTCATAGATAGAAAAGACTAAAGCTTTCAACAACACCAAAACCAAATTAAAATTACAATACCACCCACAGTACCATTGCCCACCCAAAGTACCATCCTGACTATTGCCCAATGTACAGTATCACTTGTCAAACTCATCATTACCCCTAACTCTACCACCTAGCACTCCCCGTTTGGTTTATATCTGTTCTATCTAATCTATTTACAACAGGTGATTAATGCCAACAATTCTCTGTGACAAGAAGAAAATATAAATTCACCTTTGTTTTCTTCCACAATCTTTTCCAGCAGATTCCTTGATGCTGTGACTTTCTCCCATGCTTTGTCTGTCAACTGGGGGGGAAAAAAATCACATCACGATGCTGTCGGATTCAACAATTACACTCCAGATCCTTTTAGAAATTATACAAAAAAACAATAGTTTGAGATGAAAAACTTTACTCCAGGTGTTCTTGAACAGTGTAGGCTGTGCACACAAGTACCTCTTTGCCAATAGCAAAGAGACAAGTTTGACCAATCTGTTCTAAATTGAAGTGTGCCTTCATGGGCTGGTGCAACCAATCATCAATGCATACGCAAAGACAATTCATTCCTACACAATTTGATTGTCCATGCTATAGCGAGTCCCACACCAAGCATGCATATAAACCTGCATGCTGTGAGCTCCCACAAAGGATTGTTGTTTCGATATACATTGTACATGCAAGATCATGCCCTCTCTTGTTCCCGCTTAGAACGGATTGGCTCCTTGTACTGATCCATACACAATCTTTTCAAAAATTCATTTCACACACTCCACACTATTTACAAAGTTACATGTATACCTTGGCCAAGTGGGGGCACAGTGAGGGCCCAGGGGGGGCCCAGTGGGGGCATTGCTGCTTATTCGGACTTGAAAAGTATTCCCTTATATATGTACAACATGAAGTCCACAAAAGTATGGTTTGAATTCCAACAACTGGGACACATCACTGCACAAAATTCCTATTCCTTTCATTTTGGGGTCTTCAATGGATGATGTGGTCATGAAAAAGAAAGTGTTTGTTGTTGTGTTTGGAACTCTGGTAGAGTAACAGACCAGAGCGATCTTTCATGTCTGAAATACAACATCTACAATTATGGTTTAACTTCATGAATATTCAAAAATGTCAACAGTCATTCTTTTGGATGCATGTTGGATATGGAACACATATATGCAGTCTTCAGTGTAGCTACCGGTACAGTTGCCACAACAAAACCATACATGTACATGTACCTGTGTATTCTTCTGTGTATACTGTATTCTTTCTCTGTGGTTTACTGCCACAATTAATTATGAAAATGAAACAGTGAGGCACAGATGTTGGATGGCATAATCTACATAAGCCGTTCAAAAGCCATACAAAATATCAAGTTTTTTTATAGGTTTGGGCACAAACGTGGATGCGCCCAGCAGGCATCACTTTGTACATGTTCATGAGTTAGCACTCTAGTTTGTATACATGTACATGTAGGTCTACCTCAGCATGTGCTGTTGAGAGTGTAGTACAAACCAAACCACAAAACAAACAACATGGAGGTACCTGGAAGGAAAGTTCACATTTTTATGGATTTGCAAATCAGGAAGGCACAATAATGTCAACATGCAGGAAGGTGTAACAATTAAGCAGGATATAGAAACAGCCAAGAGAATTTAATTTATGATGACCATGCAACACATACAAAATGGCATCAAAGTCAAGACAATGACATGATCGATATTTTCATTTCTTCTACATGTCGATACTTCATAATACTAATAAATGTAGAGATTGTGTACTGAAAATATTAGCCACTCTGATTGAGTTTTGAGTCTGATTGAGTTTATTCTTGGCCTATATGTAAAACTCAATGTCTCTCTTGCACATTTGTATTGGTTGATTGAGTTCAAGTCACACCACTTCACTTATTTTGAGCAAGGAGCATGTGATGCTTAATTTAATTTACAAAATGCTGAAGCTCTTAAACAGGACTGTCCATTCATTTCCTTTCCACTAATACCCCATGGTGCCAAGTTGACCTTTATGAAGGTCATCTATGGGCAAGAAGTTTGACCATTTATTATTACCAGAAGGGTAGAAGGTTTGGACCATCTTGTTGACCATTTGGAACCAGGCCCTGAGGCATGGTCACACTCTAGCCTTCAATAGAAATTTCATTTATATGTACAAAGGGAACCACTGACATGAAAACAATTATCAGCGATGCCATTCACTGTGAATGCTAGAAGTGATGTAGCTAACAAACATCAAACTGATATGAGTGATGATGGGATTTTATTAAGTCATTTGACTAAGGCTGTTCAAGTGTGACTGTATTGTGCCTACGCACCACACACAAAAGGATTTGCCAGTGGTCAAACTATAAGTTTGCTCTGCATGTACCGGTACGACAAAGTTTACAGTGACAAAACACAATTAGGCAACAAGAATAATGCCTAAAACCTCAAACATCCACTCGGAAAACGGTCGTATATGACGCATCAACATTTCTTTGACAGCAGTAGTTAGTAACATGCTGAATCAAATGTGCAACAAATGACAGAAGAAGTCAACCCCCAACAAACCAGTAACCAATAGAATCCCCCTGTTCTGATAAAAAAATACTACCCATTGATGCATGATCAAAGGCTATTTCAAGTGTGAAAGCAAACACGAATGTGGTTTTGTGACATCAGGTCAGATATTTGCATTGCCATTTCGCGAAAGTTGACCTTTCAACTCAGTGAATTTTGCAGCGAAATATTTTGCGATGCCAAATTCACTTCATTTTCACATTCGCCTACAGTATGAACTAACCTTTAGATTCACTAGGGAAAAGCTTTAAAATTTAAAATGCCATTTTTTGTTGAGCTAGTTTCCCCACCTTGATGTTATATCTGCCTTCACCAAGCTTCATCAAATCATCAGTGGAGAGGCTGCATCCATCGAGACTCAAGTACTGCAAGTAAGGTGATGATCAGTTTTACATCAATCTTCAGAGTGAGCCTGGAATGACTAGCATGTGTATCTAATCAATACGCCAAGCAAGGGTAGTTTCAGAGTGCAATACTCCACTTGATTTTTTGTCCACCCCCTTCCATGGATCAAGTTGAGATCAGCATGCAGGGAATATCAGTTGGGCTGAATGATCACTACCAGATCCAGGATGGCCAATGGGGCTACACCCACCTCCTCCAATCCAAAAAGAAGCACTAAACTTTGTTTTGTTTTTTTAAAATAAATGACAGAAGGATGACCTTGGGACTACTTCCATCCACAGTGTGTAAAAAGCTCCCAAATTTAGCCTCACATTTGAGAAGCCCAAAATATTCGAGGGAAATCCTCCAACTTTGCTATCTCCTAAAGTGCCCCCTCCCCTTCCCCCAAAAATGGTTCTGATCCACTCATGTCAATACTGAGGCAACAAAGTTGACTCCAAATATGCAGTATCTCAATACTCAGGTCAAAACCCAAGTTATATTACCTCTGTTGCTGACTTAAAAGTTGTGTGTCTGTGATTTTGGAGTATAAATTGTAGTCAAGGAAATGAACGTACACAATACCTAAAGCTGCATTCTGATGGGAACAACGAATATGAATTCTGGAATTCTACTGAAACTGACTTTCTGAAAGGTAAGCAGTTCTTAGGGCAGAGGTTAACCTCAGTTATCAAATAATGCTGATCTCACTGGGAATCTGACATTCAAATGCATTAGGCAAACCTAACTGGTGGTCAGAAATAGGCCAACTCATGAACAGATTTTTTACTGGGGACCTACAAGCAATCATATTGAATGTACAGGTATGCTTTACCCATTACCAAAATCAAGGTTGCTGAATATACATTACATGTACTGGTGTTAACTGCATGTAAATTTATTGCACATAACCGGTGCAGGTGTGGCTCGTTTGAAAATGAAGAAGAGGTGTCAGCCCTTAAAACCTGTACCAGCTGTTAATTGACGAGCAGTTGAAAATAACATTTTGATGTGGGATTATGGATTGAACGAATCACATAAAAACTATGCATTCAGTACCATGTTGGTGCAAATGTGTGCCTTGTGTGGACATTCCTTTATTTTGTTTCAAGTTAGATATTTGATGATAATGATTTCCTGGACTGTTGCAGCGGATGACCCCAACCCTTTTATGCCTCTAACCATGTTTTCCAGATAAGGAGTAACCTTGTGTGGATACAACCTGCATTTTGTGAACCTTTTTCATTCACAGGTCAACACTATTCATGTAAAGTTTGTACATCAGAGACGTTGGTGTACAGTTTGCATTATGTGGGTTGGTTTCGTAGGCTTGCTTCTCTTTAGAGCATATGGATGGATTTTTTTTTAATTCCCATGATATAAATATAGGATACATGTCACTATAACGTTCTGTAAGAAATGAACCAGTTTTTCAATGTTGCCAAACACTCACTTCACGGATGTCTTTCCTTGGATGGTCTCCAATCGGTGATATTAAAAGCAAAACCTTTGCCATTTTAACAAATCTTCCTTAAAAAATTTCCAGACATGCAACCTCGAATATTTTATAGACAGGCAGGCTTTTGGAAACAAGGTATTTTGAATAAATCTGTGTAAAAATATTAAAATGGGAATTTTACTGAGCTAACATTTCAGTAAAAGGCCAAACCTGAGAAAAGAATTAAGAGCAGTCATACATCTTTTTTCAAGACAACCAAGTGGAAACTACAATGAAATCTTATTCTTTAGATCTGGAAACATTCCAGTCTTCAGTTGAGACAAAAAAGGAAACAAGAGAACATTAAGATAAAAGGATACACATCCTGATGCAAGGTGGACGAGGAAATTATGCCATCAGTCTTCTGTTCACTCTTAAGAACTGCAGGAAAAATATCAAAGGCTTAATCTAATCACCTTTTCAACACTTGATCAAATTATCATTGTCAGCAGTATAGATCTATAATAAATGTTGTGGAATATGGTCAGGAATACATTTTTGGCAGCTCTGTTCTTTTCTGATCCTTTTAGGGAGGTGTTTTAGTTATTTTTGTGGTTCCTGAAGACTGCATCCAAAGTTGAGCACACACACCGCCGAGTAATTTATCGTAAGATCATTTCCACCAGTAAATCTACACATGTACTCCAAGCTTTTATGAAACAAGGAAACACCAAAAGTAAAAAGTATTTTAAAAGTCAATAATTCAATATTTTCACTGCTAATTTTGACTCTTTAGGGCATTTTATTACTTTCAGTTGGCAAATAGGTCACTGAAGGTTGAAAATGGAATTTTTTCCAAAATGGTGATAATTATAGTCAATTTATTCAAATCAAGCATAGGCCTACAGAAAGTTATACTATACTTCAAGAACTCTAAATCACTAATCACTGTGTGACTCGGAGGAGACAAGGTTTACATGGCGTCGTAACGCTATGGGGTTTTGGAATCAAAATCCACGGTCGAACCTTGGGGTAGAGGCACTTGGAAAACAAGAATCCTAGAGGGGGGGTGTCTATAGTATAACTACTTCGAGAACTTTAAGTCACTAACTTCGTGATATTCCGTGTGACTTTCACGAGACAAGGTTTACATGTACATGGCGTCGTAACGCTATGGGGTTTTGGAATCAAATTTTTGTGGTGAAATGGTTCACAGCCCTAAGAAAGCTATTAAATCAAATTTTCCCCTGACAGCATACCTGTTTAATCTATACCTCCTAATAAGTTCACAGCCCTAAGAAAGCTATTAAATCAAATCCTAAGGATAACAAAAGTTTCAGAGCATGAGATGGGGATGACATCTTGTGTTGTTTTCATCTTGGGACCATCCTAGCTCCTGCTGTGACCTAGAAACACACATCAGGCGAGACGCGCGACATGAGCTGTGCCGTGTGTGATGCTATCCCTCGCCACTGGAAATGGTTGAGCCAAGATGCGGAGCAAGCGCAGTCATTGGTGGGCTCGACACATGCGCAGTCTGATAAACACGAACGGCATGAACAAAGCGACAGTCAACGGGTGGAAGTGAGAAATTGGTGAGCAGAAATTCCATTTTTTTTTCCAAAAATACTCCATCTCACGCTCTGAAACTTTTGTTATCCCCTTTTTAGGAGGTATAGATTAAGCAGGAAAATTTGATTTAATAGCTTTCTGACAGCTGTGAACCACTTCACCACAAAAATTTGATTCCAAAACCCCATAGCGTTACGACGCCATGTACATGTAAACCTTGTCTCGTGAAAGTCACACGGAGTATCACAAAGTTAGTGACTTAACTAACTAATTAAGTTCTCGAAGTAGTTATACTACAGACACCCCCCCTCTAGGATTCTTGTTTTCCAAGTGCCTCTACCCCTAGGTTTGACCATGGAGGTAGGAATGGTTCGACGAAAGGGTTAAAACTATCCCTTGTGCCCAAAGGCTGACTACTGATTTTATTATGCCCAGCGCATTGTGAGCCAATTCATCAAGCATAGACCCTCCTTGGGCCTAACCCCACAAATAAAGCTGTAA